GAGAGGGAAGGAGTTCCCAGGGAGAGGGAGGGAGGGAATTCCCAGGGAGAGGGAGGGAGGGAGTTCCCAGAGAGACTGATTTGGCGGTAAAAATGAGGGAGCTGGGAGTGAAATGAGGGAGTTGGGAGTGAAAATATGGGAATTTGAGGTAAAAATGGGGGCGTTTTAGGTAAAATGAGGGAATTGGGAGTGAAATGTGGGATTTTGAGGTAAAAATGGGGGAGTTTGAGGTAACAATGAGGGAGTTGGGAGTGAAATGAGGGAGTTTGAGGTAAAAACAGAGGAGTTTGAGGCAAAAATGGGGGAATTTGGAGTGAAATGTGGGAGTTTGAGTTAAAAATGAGGAAACTGGGAGTGAAATGGGGGAGTTTGAGTTAAAAATGAGGAAATTGGGAGTGAAATGGGGGAGTTTGAGGCAAAAATGGGGGAATTGGGAGTGAAATGAGGGAGTTTGAGGTAAAAATGGGGGAGTTTGGTAAAATACGAGGGTTTGAGGCAAAAATGGGGGAGTTTGAGGTAAAAATGAGGGAGTTGGGAGTGAAATGAGGGAATTTGTGGTAAAAATGAGGGTGTTTGTAGTAAAAGTGAGGTAATTTGGAGTGAAATGAGGGAGTTTGAGCCAAAAATGGGGAAGTTTAAGGAAAAAATGGAGTTTGAGGCAAAAATGGGGGAGTTTGAGGTAAAATGAGGGAATTGGGAGTGAAATGAGGGAGTTTGAGGTAAAAATGAGGAACTGGGCAGTGAAATAAGGGAATATGAGGGAAGAGGGAGGGAATTTGAGAAAAATGAGGGAATTGGTGGTAAAGTGAGGGAGTTTGTGGTGAAAATGAGGGAATGTGAGTAAACCTGAGGGAATTTGCAGTAAAACTGAGGGAGTTGGTGGTAAAACGAGGGAGTTTGAGGTAAATCTGAGGGAATTGCCAGTAAAAGGCAGAATATTCCCAGTAAAGGGAAGGAAATCCCCAATCCCACCACTCGGGGGTTCCCAGTGCCCTTCTTGGGTGGATTTGATCCCTTTTGGGGAGAGGGAATCATGAAAAGGTGTGGAATGAGGATCCAGGGGCCTTTGGGCTGGGAAGCAGGAATTGCAGAATCCCAGAGGTTGATGGGTTGAAGCCCCTCAAGTCTGACAGGAAACCCACCATTTTTCTGGAAACCCCTTGGATTTGGTGACCTCAACCCCTCATCCTTCCTGCCCTTCCTGGCGCGTCTTCGACCTCCCTAAACCCGTTTCTAAAGGGTTATTTTCACCTCGGAAGCTGGAGCTGGGCAAAAAAACACCACAAAAACCAACCAAACAAGTTTGATTGTGTTGTTTTTTTCCACCCCACCAGCAGCACAACCCGGGGTTCGGGATGGGAGGCCCGATGCACAACGAGGCTCCTCCGCCGCCCAACATGCGCGGCCGCGGCCGGGGCGGCAACATCCGCGGCCGTGGAAGAGGCCGGGGGGGTTTCGGTGGGAATCACGGAGGCTACATGAACACAGGTGAGGTGCCACCAACCCCCCCAGCACCCCAAACCCCCCCCCACCCCCCTCTTGGTGCTTCGTTCTCCTTCAGTCGCTTCCATTTCCTTCCAACGTCAAGTTGGGTGATGTGGTTGATCGACCGTAGAGGTGGGAGAACCATCCAGGGGGAGGTGGAGGAGAAGTGGGTCCAGTTGAGCTTCGTGAGGTTCAACAAGGTTGAAGTTAGAGATCAGGAGGAAATTCTTCAGTGTGAGGGTGATGAGACACCAAAGCTCCATCCTTGGAAGTGTCCGAGGGCAGGTTGGAGCAACCTGGGCTGCTGGGAGGTGTCCCTGCCCGTGGTGGGGGTTGGATCTAGATGAGCTTCAGATCATGGAGTGGTTTTGGGTTGGAAGGGACCTTGGAGACCACCTGGATGATCTTTAAGATGGTTGGTCCATCCCTGGAAGTGTCCAAGGGCAGGTTGGATGGGGCTTGGAGCAACCTGGGCTGCTGGGAGGGGTCCCTGCCCATGGTGGGGTTGGATCTAGGTCCCTCCAACCCAAACCATTCCGTGATTTGATGATTTTAACTTCCTTCCTTCCATTTTAACCTCTTTCCTTCCATTTTGACCCCCCGTAGGCGCCGGCTACGGGAGCTACGGTTACGGCGGGAACTCGGCGACAGCCGGATACAGTAAGTGGAGCTTTATTGCCTCGTTTTTCATGACTTTAAACTTTCCAACCACCTGGATCTGCTGGGGGCATGAAACTCGGGGGTCGGGGCCCCTGATTTAAGGACCTTTTCCCTTTTCATTTTTGATTTTTGGGATGAGAAGTCCTGGGAACACCCAACCCATGACCCGCCGATCCCGGTGACTTTCACGTTTCCTCTCCAACTGGGAAGATTTTAAATTTCTCTGCTTTGAAGCCACGTTGAAGCTCCATCTTTGCCACACTTTTTCCAGCTTGGTTTTCCCTAAAAAAACAAACCCAAAAAAACCCAAAACCAACCTCCCACCAGCTTTTTGGGGGTGACAGGAGCAGAGAAATCTAAAACGTGTCAAATGTGGCAAAAAAAAACACCCCAACCAACCCACCCCCAATTCTAATTTCTTTTCTCTGCTCTGTCTCCCCCTTTTGTAGGTGACTTTTTCACAGACTCCTACGGCTTTCATGATTTTGGGGCTTCCTAGATCATCTTATTGCACACCCAAAATAAACCCCCCCCAAAACCCAACTTGTTTTTTACTCCAATTGACTCCAACAAACCCCCCCAAGTGTCCCTGTCGGGTCCCTCTTCTTCATTGGGTTTCTCAACCTTGGCTTTTCACCACAACTCAGACCTTGAGCCACTTTTTGATTCTCATTTTACCTTTGAACTTGGTTGTGTCTTTGTACCTGATGATCCCAGAAGGAGTTTGGGTTGGTTTTTTTGGGTGGTTTTTCTTCTTCTTTTGTGCCCTTCACACAAACCTTCCGAGCTCCGTTTTTTCAGCGTCGAGACCAAAAAACCCATTTTTTGCCTTTTTTTAATGGAAACCATCCCTTTCTTTTGAAGAAACTGAAGCTTTTTGATCTCCTTTTACCTTTTTTTAAGTTTTGGTACCAAATTCAAGCCCTTGGGTTGGTGCCTCTTGCTCTTGGGAAGACTTTTTGCCATCGGCTTGTTGTCCGTGGAACCGTGTGTGCACTTGGAGCTTTGTAACTCTCCATCCTGAGCCAATCCAGGTGTTTTGGGAAGGGTTGGGGGGGGAAACATGGGCAAAACATGAGGGAAAACCACATGGATTCCTCCCTGAAGGTGAAAATGGAGTTTTCTTGAGCCAAGCATAAAGGGCCAAACCCACGTGGGCACCAAAAAAACCCCCCTTGGCCAGAAAACCTCAAGGATTCAATTCCACCAGAATGAGGGATTGTGGGAAATGTCCCAACCTGGCCAAGCTGAGACCCTGAATTCCAAATGTTTGGTCCTTTATTCTTGCTAATTCCTTATTTTTTTTTAAATTTTTCCCAAACTGGTATTTTCTTTGTCTTTGGGCTCACTGGGGGAGGCTCCGTTGACGTCAAGAATGACCAAAAAATGGTGGAAAACAAGAAACCTCTTGAGCTACAAAGCACCAGGTTGAAAAAAATAACCAAGGCCAAGGTGTTTAGAAGAGACTTATAATAATAATGATGGCCTGGTGGGTTTTTTTAGGAAATGATGATTTTTTTTAATCCAAAAAAACTGGAAAACCAGCAGTTTTTAAGCACCAGGAAGTTGAAGTTGCCCCTCGTGTGCTGGAGGTTTTGATTCCTTCACTTGGATTTGGGGAAAGGACAAAATCATCTGACATCCAGCAGCATGAAAGGGTCAGAATCCCCTGGGCAATGTTGGTGCAAAAAGGAAAATCCCAGAAATATTCCAATTCCATCTTGAATTTCCGCGGTGTCGACCGGGGGTTGTTGTTGTGCTGGAGAGAAACTCCTGCCAGAACCTCCTTCCTCCCCAATGAAATCATCATCTCCTGTGGAAGAGGAAGGGGAAGGAAAAAAGGTTTCACTCAGGACGGAGCCAAGAGTTGAGGAAATTACCCCAAAATGCAGAAAAACCCCAAGAGAAGAGGCAACCAAAGTGCCTTGAGGAGCTGTGACTCTTCCCACACGTCGAGTTGTCGGTGCCGCGAGTCCTCCTGCAGTTGTTGGAGCAAAGGCCACAGGATTTGACTCTTCTGGCTCCTTTTTAACTGAATCCTCCCCTTTTTCCAGGGAATCTCTCCCTCTTGGAGCTCTGTGGTTCCTCTCCCGGGGCATCCACACCAGTACAGGCACCAGTGTGGGGTTTTTAGGTCAATTCTAGTGGTTTTTAGGTCAAGTCTAGTGGTTTTTAGGCCTTGAAACTGTTTGTTTTCCACGAAACTGTAGAGTTGGGTCTTCTCATGTTTGGCCTGACACCAAGAACAACCTGTAGAGGAAGAAAACTCTTGATAAACAGTGAAAACAAGATAAAGACTCTTGATAAATCAAATTGAACTCTCACGCTCAGCGCTGCTGTGTCCGGGTTCTCTGGCCTCTTCCAAGAGGTTTTTGGTAACTTTTGTCCCCAAATTTGGAGGTAAATGGGGTAAAACACACATCTCTGTTCCCATTGGATCATTGCTGCTCACTCGTCGTGTCAATCCCAAGGGATGGTGACATCATTCTTGGCGACAGGAGCCACGTTGGGCCTCGTTGGCGCTTCCCCGGCCCGCGCCGCTGCGAGCTCGGCCACCAGTGACACCTCAAGTGCTGTTTGAGACCTTTGTAGAGGTTAATCGTTAATTAATTCATCTTCATAACTGTTAATTGTTGGCTAATTACTTTCATGGTGGCATTAAAGAACCTGTGGTAGCTCTTGGTGCTCAACCCTTGGGGCTGCTGGACGACACCCCAACCTCAACCTGCGTCCGACCAACCAGACCCCAGCAGGTTCTTGAACCAAACCCACTCCCAACCCCTCCTGTTTTGGGGCATAATCTCCCATTTTTTGACCTTCCCAAGAGGTTGGGACTGTTGGGGTTTGATGCTCTTCTCTCTTCCTCCCTCCAGGCCAGTTCTACAGCAACGGTGGCCACTCCAACTCCGGCAGCGGCGGCGGCTCCTCCGGTTACGGCTCCTACTACCAAGGGGGTGACAACTACAACTCTGGGGTGCCCCCCAAGCATGGTGGGAAGAAGCAGCAGCACGGGGGCCAGCAGAAGCCCTCCTATGGCTCGGGCTCACCGTCCCACCACGGGCGGGGGGGCTTTGAGGGGGTTTTGGGGGCAGTGGGGGAGGAAAACGGGGAGTTCTGGGTGATCGGGGGGGTGAAACGGGGGTTCGAGGGTGGTTGGGTGAGGAAAGGGGGAGTTTGGGGTAAATTGAGTTGGGTGAAGTGGGAGTTTGGGATGGGTTGGGTGAGTGGAGTTGGGGTTTGGGGTAATTGGGTGAGTAGAGTGGGGGATTTGGGGCGATTGGGGGGGTGAAATGGGGGATTCTGGGTGATTGAGGGAGTGAAATGGGAGTTTGGGATCATCTGGTGAGTCCCAGGGCTGGACTTGGAGGTCCCAGGGCTGGACTTGGAGGTCCCAGGGCTGGACTTGGAGGTCCCAGGGCTGGACTTGGAGGTCCCAGGGCTGGACTTGGAGGTCCCAGGGTTGGACTAGAAGGTTCTGGGATGTTCTTTAAGGTTCTGGGATGGGCTTTGAGGACCCAGGGATGGTCTTTAAGGGCAAGGGATGGGCTTGAAGTTCTGGGGGTTGGACTAGAAGGTTCTGGGATGGGCTTTGAGGTTCTAGGATGGGCTTTGAGGACCCAGGGATGATCTTTAAGGGCAAGGGATGGGCTTGAAGTTCTGGGGGTTGGACTAGAAGGTTCTGGGATGGGCTTTGAGGTTCAAGGAGGGGCTTTGAGCTCCCTCCAACCCTTCCCATGATTCCTCAGCTTCAAGCTGTTTTGATGGGATGAGACAGGCCCGGCTCTGCTCTCCTGCTCCTCAGGGACCTTCTGGGGGAGGTTTGGGAAGTGCTGGGGGATCCCCAACCCCCCTCACCCCACATCCCACCCCCCAGCTCATGGCAGCA